ATCACAGTAAATGACGTTGACATACCGTTTGTTCAGACAGCTACCAACTTGGGAGTTTTGCTTGATAGTAAATTATCGATGAAAGATCATATAAAGATGATATCGATTTCATGCGTCTCCTGTCTCCGAAATTTGTATCGAATTAAACACTGGTTGGACAGATCAACCATAGAAACTTTAGTGCATGCATTTGTTACGTCTCGTTTAGATTACTGTAACAGCTTGTTGTATAAAATACCCGACAAATCAATAGCTATTTTGCAGTCGGTTCAGAACAGAGCTGCAAAGTTGGTTGCCGGTAAATTGAAGTTTGACCACGTTACGCCAATTTTGAATGATCTGCACTGGCTGACAATTGATAAAAGAATAATTTTTAAAATTGGTGTGATTATGTTCAAAGCATTGAATGGAATGTCACCGGATTACATAACTGATAAATTTACCAGAAAAGAATCAACTTCTGGTTTCCATCTTCGATCAGATGATATGAATCTCTTGAGGGTGCCAGTGGCGTTTTTACAGATTGGTTCGCGTGATATTGCAATCGCTGGTCCTACTGTGTGGAACAATCTCCCTGCACCACTAAGAAAGCCTGGGCTTCATCTTCGAGCATTTAAAAAAGATTTAAAGACATTTTTATTTTTGTTGAAATTACATTGAATTCTGTACTACTTGATTTTGTACTATTTTGTTTGTCACGTATATAATTGCTTTATTTTTGAGAGCGCCTGTGAGAACATTTAATGGGCGCTCTAGAAGTTATCCTTAATAATAATGCAAATATACATAAAACTTTTTTAACTGTACTCTTTGTCTAAACAATTAACATAAAACAATTAGCTCATATTGCGTTATCATTATAACCATCTTTATCATCATCTTTTTCTTCTTCATCATTTATTATTACTAAATCAGTCAGAAAGATATATCAACAACACACACACACAAACAAACACACGCACACATGAATCCATACATCCCAAGCATATTGCATGCGACCGAGGAAAGGTCCTTGCTATCGAACCCAGTCAAATCAACAGCAAGTCTAGACACCTTATCCCTTAGTACTACGTTATATTATTTTTATTATTTATTATTATTATAATTATTTGTCTCTATTATAATTGTTGACAATTTTTTTTATACTTGTTTTTAGGTTTCGGTAGCTGACTTGCACACGCAAAAGTGAATGCAAGAAATTCAAATTTTGTCGTTATGATATTTATTTATATTTACAGCAGTGAACGAATTAATAAAATAGCAACATCGAAATTTGAGTTGTCTTTCTTCAAGCATCTTTCCATCTACTGAAGTAAATGAAAAATTTACAAAGCGTTCGATTACTACTACTACTGCTACTACTGCTACAACTGCTACTACCACTATTACTGCTACTACTACTACTGCTACTACTACTACTGCTGCTACTACTACTGCTTCTACTACTACTACATCATCGTTAGCATTATCATCAGCTTGATCGTCATT